TGGAGTATCTGTGCCTGTATCTCAGTCAGCAGAGTGCAAGGTTGGGCAGCTGGGCCCTGAGCTCTGTGCTGACCTGGCTCCTGAGCCAAAGCTGGAGCAGGGGGTTGCTCATGGTGCTGTGCTGACTGCCAGTCTTCAGCAGGGACAAGAGTGGGGCTGTCCTCTGAGCTGAGGTGCCCCATGGAGATTTGCTGCAGCACACATCACTTGCCCAAGGTGACTGAATGGCCCACCTTGAAATTCTGGTTCCTTTAGACTGAGTGATGCACAGACTGTCTGCAGTTTGTAAAGCAAAATATAGAACTAATACTGCTCTAATGCCTGCTTAAGCCTTAATGGGGAATAGAAGCCTTGCACCTCTTAAAACTTCCACCATTGCCTTTGTACATTCAAAGACTTTTAAATGGCTTTTAGCTCGTAAAAATAAAGCATCTGTTTGCAGAGGAGCTGCTCCAGCTGTAGTGGTACAGAACGTGTATGTGTTTTGTTTTGCACACGTGTTCTAATCTCTAAATCCTACCAAGTAAATTCAAGAAAGTATTTTGTCACTAGCTATGTTAGGCATTTTGCAGCTATGAAGGAATGAAGCAACACTGATTCATAATGAGATAATTGGGATTGAGATCTCCTGAGCAACTTACTACTGCTGCCCTTAGACCATTTGCTGGAGCTGGTGGCTATTTCAGGTGCACGCTGCCTTCCAGGGACAGCCTTTGCCATACCTCTCAGCCCTTCCATGGATTTGCATGAGAGATTTGGGTTGCATGGAGTGCCACCACACCTCACTGCTTTCAAACACTCATCAAGCAGCTTGGAGTGCAAGGTGTTTGCTGCAAAAATGGAGTTTGGTTTGGTTGTTTGCTAACGTAGAATTGCATACAGAACGTTTTAGGATTTCTAGTTCAGCTGATCAGAGTTAGGCAGTGATTTTTCTGTAATCCTTTTAATTTCTGACTTATATTCACCTTTGAAATTGCTGCATTTTGAACTTGAGCATCTTAAATGTCAGATACCACAAGCGTAAATATGTTGATTTTTCTCACCTATGTCAAGTGGTTTGAACTGAAAGACGTTTGTTCTTTTCAGAGTTTAAAGTACTGGTGAAATTATTTTTAAAGCTACTTTGATTCAAAGGCTGTCTGTTGACAACCACAAACATCTATATTCTGTAGTTAGTTAATCTAATGGGAAATAAGCATATATAATCCAGTTAGATTTCATTGCCTTGCATTCTGTAGCATCTTTTTTAAATCAGAATGAGACATCATGATTTCAAGAAGGCTTCTTTTTCAGGAGAGTAATACCTCAGAAGCCTTCCAGCAGGTTTTGTATATTCTCTATGTTGTATCCGTATGATTTTACTTCTGCAGCTGAATACTGAGTCTTTTTACTAGTACTACTTTATCTGATAGCTTCTTGGCTAATTGTAGTTTGAACCTAGTAAAGGTGAGCATGTCTGAAGTAAAGATGGGCTTGTAAATAGAAACTGATACATAAGAGACTACTGTATTAAAAAATACCTAATTCTAGACTTTAGAAGTGTAATTACAAAACTGTCTTCCCCCTTTGAAGAGGTAAGGCTATGTAATTGTTTAGAGATTTACCCAGGACGTGGAAGTCAATACAGTGCATTTCTCATTTAAGAAATAAGAACTTTTACCACTAGATTAAGTAAGGGCTGGACTGTTCCCCTCAGTAAAAGTATGGACCTGTCACTCATACTTAAAGAATAACCCAAGCACCTAATTTTAGGAGTAGTCTTAGGGCTGTGAATCCTTGCCTTGCATGGGTGCCTTGGAAGTTTGTGCTACTAGTGTTCTGCTTGGTTGCTCTAGGTAAGTGTTTAAATTTGGGGAGGCAGGATTTCATGTGCATCACTCTTCAGAACTCCTCTGTCAGCTATTTTAGGTAACCTTACGCTCAGAGTAATAGTTATTCCTGGGTCTAATGCTTCCGTTGCTGTGGAGGGATATTAAGAGAAGTGGATTTGTGTTTTCCACTTCGAAGTGAGTATCTGTCTTTCTCTGAATCTGTCTAAATTTTATTTTCCTTTCACAGGTTCCTCTGTTCCTGTTTGCACAAGCTGAGAATTTTTCACAGGGACATTGGTCATGATAGTGGTTGACCCAAAGTGGCTAAATGTTTTGGTGCCAATTGGCAGTATTCTTTTTTTTTTTTCTTCTTCTAGGACGTGAAAATCTGAGAAATGAACAAATTACGGCAAAGCTTCAGGAGAAAGAAAGATGTCTATGTGCCAGAGGCCAGCAGGCCTCACCAGTGGCAGACTGATGAGGAAGGCGTTCGTACGGGCAAGTGCAGCTTCCCTGTGAAGGTAAGAGCTGCTGCCTTTCCTTCAGACATCCAGGAGGTACTCTTGCCATGAATTATTTGGAGTTTTTGGCAAGCATAAGCCAGCGGCATGCTTCATTACACACTGACCTGTTTTACAGTCAGCTCTCATTGCAAAGGATGTGGCTTTTTTTTTTTTTTTAAAACCAGATGACTAATGTAACAAATGCCTTGGAAAAATCACTGTCTGAGGTATCCTACGTTATTATCTAGTTGAAATAAATCATGTAGCTAGGCAGAGGAGTAACATATTTGTCTTCCTTTTTCTGGAAGAACAGGAACGATAGACCTCTTGGATTACATGGAGGGGTACTCAGTTCTCTCTTAAAAGTGGAGTTAGTTACAGTTTGACTTGTAAGGTAAGCGGTGGGTTGTGCTGGGAAAGGAATCCTCCCTCCCTTTTGATAACTGACAACATTGCTGAGTAACAGCAGAGTTTCCTTCCAGTGCTTGGGGTTGTAAGCAGTTGCTAACTTCTGAGGGTGTCTCCCATGCTACAGTTCTGTCTTTGTCTATATTACAGACTATTAATGCATGTGAAACTGAAATAACTTTTTTAAATTCTGAGAAGTGATTCCAGATTATCGGAGGTATTATGAATAGGTATTTTCTTTTGTGGCACCATTTCTCCGTCCCCTGTATTTAAGAAACAATAATATGTTAATATTTTAGAATGATGTTTAGCGTTAATACTTAAGTAATACACTGATGAAGATAAATATGAAATGTAAAGTGTCTTGTTTTGTGTGCTCCCCTTGTAATCAAAAGCTTTCTTCCTCAAGGCACACTAATACTGGCTCTACAACAGACTGTAAGCACATGACACTTAGGGAATGCTAATGCATTTAGTATCTGTGCACAAGGAAAGCAGTCTATGGTTCTGAAACTTAAGGACCTTTTATTAGTTTTTATCTCTATTATACTTAAAGTAATTGCTAGTTAAACAGGTGGTGTTGCTAGGTGGAACTCCTGAAACTGGCCGTTACGTACTTCTGTAAAGCTGTGGCTATGTGCAGATATACAATACATCTGAGGTAACTTTCACACGAGGTCCATGAGCTACTGTAGTTGCCTGTGTGTACTTTTACATAAACTCAAGTGTATATAATGTTTCTGGTTTGTTATGGTTGTCTGCTTGTTTGTCTTTGTCTTGTGTTAGTTTTCTGCTGGAGGAAGGAACTGTAATCCAGTACTAAGTAGAGGTGGTGTTTTGCCAGAGCTTTGAAAGTGAGTAACTGCTCTGTGGAAGCTGAAACTTAGATTAAGGTTTAACACTGTCTAGGAGAGAACAGAGCTGTTAGCTTGAGAATTGTTGTTTTTTAATAATTTAGGCATTACACGGGTTGAAAAGCAAAATGCTCAATTTCTAGACATTTAGTTTTACTCAAAACTTTTTCAGTCCTTTACTGAATACAAGGGGTGTGAACCATTTCTTGCTGTTTAAAGGCTGACCTTTTTTTAACTCTCAGTCAGGACTTGCACTTATAATGACAAATGCTTCCTGTATTTAAATGAAGCATTCATCTATTCTGGGCACATGTACCCAAAGTCAGAAAAGGTTTTGGACTATTCTGTGTTGAAGAGGCATAGAAATGCCTTTGCATCCTGTCATTATAATGGGACTTACCCTTATTTGCCCACTTTATATTGGAATCCACTGAATTATTTTTTTTTTTTTTAAAACTACTCTGAAGTAAATGCACCTTTACCTACATTTCTTGATTTGGTCAGAATGGAAGACTATATTTAAAGAATTTGCAATGAGATTAAAACTTAAAATCAGAACAATTTGAGAGTAAGGGGCACTTTAGCTTATTGGATTAGAGTTTATCTTCCAAAATACTGTGCCTTGAGGTGGGCAGTAGTGGAAATTTTTGTTAGGCTTGGGATGCAAAGTGGGTGTTAGCTGGTGTTTTATAGATACAGACAGGAAGTTTGCCATTGTGAGTGAACGAGATAAACCAGCTGTAGAGTCATCAGTTCAGTGGGTGGTACTATATATTGCTCACAAAAAAAGAATAGAACTTTGTGCTATTGAAGGAGAGTATCCTGTCACGCTGTTCTTGGGTATTATTCAGAAATTCATACATTCCAGGAAAAGTAAGCAGTCTCCTCTGTCCTTAAATATCTGATGGGGTGATTTTTCTTCCTGATGCTCCTCAAGGGAGCAGAATAAACAGATATTTTGGGGGAAATGGTTAATGAATAGGAGCGCATTAGAATCTGAAACATGGTTAAAATATTGTCTTATAACTTTCCTAAATGGGAATTCCAGAGTGGTCCGTTGCCAGTAGGATGGCTGCTCAATCAGTTTTATGTTTCGGGGGTGGAGGCATTAGTCTGTCCTCATTTTTTATGATCTACTTTGCCCACCCTCTAAAAGTCATCAGCAGTAGTCCTTTGGAGCTCAAAGCATAGATGAGTGGTAAGACCAGAGTATGGATTTTGCAGGGATGAGGAAGATTTTACCTCTGTAGCTGGTGAAGACCTGAAAATTTTTAACAAATGTCTCTACAGCTGCTTTTAATGTTTTCTGTATTAAAGTAAAATACATGAAACTATCATGTTGAGGACTTGGTTTCTTCTAATGCTTGGTGTTTTATTTAGGTAAGGCTCTAACATTCTTTTTTTTGGAGACAGACGTGCAAATACAGAGCAGGGAATGTTTGCCTTTGGTTTCTCTTGTAAAAGGGAAAGTTCATGGAAGTTTGATGGGTAAAAGATATGTCACTCTTGTAAAGTAGTGTGAAGTATGTTTGTTTTTTTAACTTCTTGCCTTTGGCCATTTTTATTTTGCTCAGAGTTGGGGTGTTTCTAGAGTGCCAGCAAAGATTTACCCTTTTTTAGATACGACAGAACATGTGGAAAGACTTTGAAAGTGATGTTGCAAATAGGATTTCATCCTGCTTCCAGGCTTCACTCTGTCAGTGTTGGGCAGGGACTCCAGTAGCTGCTCATTCATTGTGCTTTGAGGATGCTGTGCTGCAAACAGATTTCATATTCCTGAAAGTTTTCTGCGTTGGCACTGTTCTTGAAGCAATTCCTGTGCTACATCAGTAGTTGATCCTTATTGTTAATTAAAGTCTGTAATTGTGCTGTTGGATTTTGAGCAAATCCAATGCATCTATGGATTGTTTTCATTGTGGTAGAGAAGATGCCTTGTGGGAAGTATTAGAAAAATTCCTATTACGTTGTTGCTTTAAAATTCAAGGAAGGGGATTCGATGCACAGTTGGTTTTCTCCAGCACTGTGCTCCTAAGTTTGGAGGTGGTGATAATCCTGGGCACATACTGTTACTTCTAGGCAATAACACTTTTGTTTGTTTGTTTAACAGTCTGTGATTTTCCACTAGTTGGAGTGGCTGTGTTGTATGTAACCAGCTACTACTGATCGTGTTTCCTCAGTCGTAGTAGTGTGTGTAGGATGTATTTACAGATAGCTCTTCACTGTGTTGGAAACGTAACCACGCTTGGGGTGGTGATCTGACACATTCAGAATTGGGCCTTGGAACAGCTACTGAGTTTCCTACAGTGCTCTTCTGTGTAAACTGTGTGGAATTTGAGAAAGCTGCCCTGAAAGAAGAGGCAGGATGCTGGAGTGTACGACTGGATGGTTTATTTGCACTCCACTGCAGCAGCAGAGAGAGAGGTGCCTGTCTGTCAGCAGAGGTTTGTCAAACTTGTGTTTAGACACGTGTGACTTACAGACTTGTGCTGTTCCATTGGGAACACAATGGTATTGTCTCCTAACTTTTGTGGTGTGGAGGTGTGATACATTGCAGCTTTTATAGAGGTACTCAGAGTAGCCCCCTTATTAAATTTGACACTGTTACAGCTGCTGGAAGATCTGTGCAGAAGAATATTTTTGGGGCAAATTCTTTTCTGCTGTCCTAACAAACTAAAAAGTAACTCCTGAGTTTCAGTAGTGAATCTTCCCTCTGAAACTGTACCAGATGTATGTAATGTGTAAGGGACTGAGATGGAAAGACTGTTTTTGAACCTGTTCAGAAGCAGATTATTGTGGCAGGCATGACAGCCACGCGTGTCAGTGCTGTAGGTTATTGTTACGCAATCTTCATGCATCATAACTGCAAAAAATGAAGTTCATTGACATAAAAATTTTCAAACTTGCTTTTTTGCTCCAGACACTACCTCACTGAGAACATGCAGCTGGGTCTATGTTTTAATGACTAAAATATTTGACACTAGGGCTTCTTTTGTCTGAAGTCCCTTTTCAGATGTCCCTCTGGGTAAGTCATTTTTAGTCATACAAATGCACTTTAGAGTAACTAGCCTGTGAAATTTATATCAGAAAAATTATGTCATTTCCCTCTACTTAACATAACTAAACAAACCTAGTATTTGCAAGTTGTTGGTGGTTCTAACCAACTGGACATGTTAAACAGAATATTAACAGCTGATTCCTACCCATGGCTCTAGAAGATGCAACGGTGACATATATCTTGGATTAATTTAATTAGTTTTAAACTGTCACTTTCATAGTTTTGGTGGTCAGTCTCTTTTGATCTTAATGCACCTAAGGCTACTGTTACCTGTAGCACTTGTGGTTCTATTACATTTATTCTGACTTGAAGACTAAAAATACCAATGCAAAAAGTCCATGTGGAAGAGTAGCAAACCACATTTGTATTTTTGAATTTGGAGTCCAGGAATTGCTGCTGAGTTCCTGATATCCTGTGAGTTACTTTTCTTCATTTCTGTATTAGTGTTGACAAATAAAAATTGTATGGACAACAGTTGTACATTCCAACATAAAAGAATTCACTTTTCAGAGTAAATACTCTTCAGCTGTTTCCTGCCTAGCCCTTGCTTTGGTGGGAGAAGTTTGGAGGGCACTGTATCGCTCTGTATTTGAGCAGAGGCGGAAGGAAAGGGAACAGATTAATGCTGAGCACTGTTGAGTGTCTGCACTGGGACTTGTGGATGTCAGTTCTCATCCCTGGGGTGCCTGTAACCTGGCAGC